GCGCCACACCCCATGGCCCTCCTCTTTGCAGATCTGACAGCGTTCACGGTCACCGCGGTCACCACCCTGGTTGCGCGGCGCACCGCCAGAGGAACCACCACCATAGTTGTCGTTGTAGCGTGATGGTCCGGGGTTGTTGTTGTAGCCGCCACATCCACCGCCGCCGCCACTACTGCCGCCACCACGGCTGTAGTTACCGCCACGGCCGCCGCCACGTGACGCAAGGTTGGCGGAGTGGTTCGGGGAGAACGCCGCCTGCTGGGCGGCGATGCGGCCTTCCGCTGCCAGGAGCAACGAGAAGAGCTCGGTGAGCCCGATCTGTTGATCAGTGGCGGCTCGCGTGGAGATGGCCGAGACGAAGCCATTGTAGTCCGGTTCATGCACCAGGCCCTGAAGAATTTGATCGACTAGATCATCTTCTCCAAGAGGCTTCCCGACTGCTGCGAGTTCGTCAGCAATGCCCTTCATCTTGGTGAAGTAGGCTGCTGCCGACATGTCCCCCTTGCGCGTATTACCTAGGGCAGACCGAAGCTGGAGAGTGCGTGCCCTAGATTGCGATGAAAAGCTTTGCACCAAAGCTTGCCAGATGCCAGCAGAAGTAGTATGGTTCGAGACTTGCATGAGGACATCACGAGAAAGAGATGCAATCAAGAACGTAAGCACCTGTTGGTCCTGTGTCTCCCAGATGGCGTGCTCGGGGTTCGGCGTGGTGACGGTTTCCTTCTTCCCGTCGGCGATGTCCCTCTCCGTGAGAAGAACGGCGTCTGGCTCCTTGCGAGATCCATCAAGGTAGCCCATCATGCCTGCAACTTTGATGTGCGGCAGGACTTGCGCCTTCCATACAAGGAAGTTTTCCCTGGTCAGTTTCTTGGTGATGGTGTGACCAAGGGATGCGAGGGAGTGGGAGGCCATGGCGACGGAGGAGGACGAGGATGACATGACCTAGATGCGTGGGAAGAGTTTGACTCTGTATACCATGTAAAAATTGAGGCTAAAGCGTATGCAATTAAGCAGGGACGCGTACGTGTTGTATAGAGGCAAAGATTACAAAGAGATTAGGTGGTTAGTGCGTGGATTGATCTACAAGAAACTAGGCTATGCAATCTCAACAGCCCCGTCAATCCTTATCCCTTGGTTACATATAACATGCACGTACGCACGTCTACATACGGTTTATACATCACCGTAGAATACAATGCTTAACAGTGGGAACTATGGATTCCATGCGCATAAACATTGCATCAACCACAGAAGACAGTTGGGGGCGGGTAATTATTACTTATCTCTATCATAGCATGCCACTGCAACATGATTCCGTTCCATTTTCCTTAATTAAGACGTAAGCAACAGGGTTAGCCGAGCATGGAATAGAGTAGGCTAAGAAAGAAAAAGACTAGTGCAATGCCACTTTTGGCTTACTCTATTGTTGAAACTTAAAACCCACTCGTCTGAAGGAAATAAAATCTCAGCATCCTTCATTCCACATAAATTCTAAAATTCCCTCATCCTATATTCTTGTGGTGCATATCGTCGTAATTTTTTTGTATTCGATGCTTGGACTCACTCAGGTCTAGAGGTCTTCTTTTATCTCTTGGGAGTTTTACGGACTATACTCGAATTTACCTTTTCGTAACCCCTAGTTCAAAATTGCACGCCCTTATCCATATACTGATAATAATCTGTGAAAAGTCACCACCAAGTATGAGTACTTCCTCTGGGGTTGGAACAACATGATACATATGGAGAAAATAGTGCAGAGGTCGACATTGAGATGTACTATCGGAGGATAGACCGTGAAAATAAATCAAAAATGAAGCACCAAGATCTTTTTTCTCCCATGCCATGAAAAGATGAAAAGAAAAGTGCTTGTGATGGATAAATCCAATCATGGCCTCATGCATGCATGTCAGCGTGTGTGCTCATAGTCCAGACGTCGACTTTCCAATAGTAGGAGTACATACGTACTCGTACTCCCTCTTTGATACGGAGGGAGTATTAGCTTGAATCGAAAGCTAAATAAATATCCATGTGATGGCTCAGAGAGCTTCACAGGATTAAACGAACTTGAGATTAAATAATTTGGCTGCAAGATGTGAACTGATGTCAACAGCAAGCTTGATTTGGAATGGGACGGCGAGCGTGTTAACTTGTTATAATCGAAATGTCTCTCTCCGTCGGCATATCCATGAGCTGGTGGGCCGGGGCAAACTATTAGAGAAACATATCCTCTCAATCACTACAAACAATCTATCTAAGAAAAGGTGTCGACAGCTGACAGAGTGCTTAAAAATACTTGCGTTGCGACCTCTTCTCGTAGGTTCATAGTACATAACCCCTTTGTTTCTTACCTGATTAAAGGATTACTCAGCATATATAAAGTAATTATTCTGGGTTTAATTGCAGGGCTATTTGGCCCTTTTTTTCAAAAACAAAAGGGAGCTAGCATGTAATTCCTCCGGTTTTTTTGGTCCGCATATAAAAATTTTCTAAAGTCAAACTCCATAGAGTTTGACCAACTACATAAGAAAAAATATAAAAATCCACAATATAAAATCAATATATTTAGATGCATCATGAAATTTATTTTCATACTATAACTTTTGTATTGTAAATGCTGCCATTTTTAAAGATAAGTTTCATCAAACTTTATGTAGTTTGACTTCAAACAAATTTTATGCGCAGAGCAAAAAGAAACAGAGAAAATATCTATAGCTCGCTTCACTTGTTAAAACCACTAGATGTGTCAGAAATCATAGCTACTCCCTCCATCCCATAATATAAGATGTTTTTTTTGCGGGAGCATAATATAAGACGCTTTTGCAAGCTATTTTATATTGTGGGATGGAGGGAGTATGCATGTTCCGAGGAACGAGCCACTTGGGTAGGTTCCGATCAAATTTTCGAACAGCTAAGGCCTCCTTTGGTTTGTAGGAATGTCATAGGATTTCTATAGGATAGGATTTGCATAGGAAAATTTCCTTTGAGGCCCTTTGGTTTGTAGCAATGGGTTCCTATTCCTATATAGGATAGGAATCAATCCTTCATATTTTGGAGGAAAAAAAACATTAGCTAAGACTCAATGAAAAAATTTCTATCCTATGCATCAAATGACATTTCTTTCTCTATAAAAATTGAGATGCATGTCATTTCACTTTCTATGATTTTTCTATTCCTATAACATTTTTATTCTATGAATCAAAGGAGGCCTAAAATTTTTGTGTAGCTCAGTAATAGGAGTCTACACTATTTGCCGACAGACTGTGGTGACGTCCTTCCGGAAGAAGGCACACCTGGAGCCCGATGTCATGGCAGGCGCACGACATTATCCTAACTATACATGCACTGTGCTACTTTCAGCACCAAACTAAACTCATCCAACCAGCACATACATGCAGAAAAAGATCTAGCATGTGCATAAACAGTACCACATATAGCAAACCGGGGACAAATCACCGGTCGAATCAACGTCATAGCGCGTGTGCGGTGTGATGAGAAAAAAGGAAGTGGTGGCTCAAGTAACATCACACCTCATCATGTACGGCAATCTCGCTTGCCAAGCTACCAGCCCGAGAATCTATCCCACGCGCACGCCGACTGAGCCAAGTTTTGTTGTAAGGACATGTACGATGGTTGATAAGATAGTTTTATCTTAAGTTTTGCATGTAAATTAGAGATGATAAAAAAACATGTCTATAATAGGTCATCTTTTAACCTTATCTATAATAATTAGTAGTTCCTAAAAATATGGTGAGACAAATTATGCTAAGAGATCATCTCTTGTCTTCTCTTAAATAAGATAAGACGAGCCTTCTCTTATGATTTCTATCTTTTCCACCTCATCATTTATCCTATGTGGCACTCTTAAGATAGAACCATTGTACATACCCTAACTGGATGTACAGTGTGGGGCTGTCGTACAGGTTTCCCCACCACGAGAGGGCTGCTAATTTTTATTCACAGGGATTACTGAGTCAGATTTTTGTATAGGTTTTGGTCTTTGCATCATGTACGCTACAAGATGAACATAAACAAAATTATATACAGTGAAGGTTTGGACGAGTACCGCTTGGGGAGCAAATAATACACACTTCATTACCTGGGTTTTTCTTGAGAGAAAAATGTTCATGTTTCTTTTCGTGCCAAATAGCAAACCGGGCCGGTGTTAGCAAGACCCATCGTACATACCTAATATAGCTGATCCTATGAACTTATTTCTGCAGCTACAATCATACACGGAAAAAGATACACCAAAACATGCAACGACCACATCTCATTGAATTATCAAATTCCCACATTAACTCGCGAGGCAATCATCTAGTGTATTTAAATAGTTTGTCTCAACTATCTCTAATTCTCTCATTACGTTGTGTCCCACCTCTTCAACTACGCCACGCCAACATCCATTAGCACTATTTTTAGGCCTACGCAAACCACATTCATGTACTCCTGCCGTCGCAAATACAAAGTGCATGGAGAAAGTCCACCTCAACATGCAAATAAGCATGTTAATTTCCACTCTATTATGCTATTTATATTTAATTAATATTTTGCAACTACAAACTAATGAAACTCAGTAAATCGTATGTATTTTCAGTTTTAACTATTACATTATTACTCAAAATATTCATGTTCGATATAATTGAACCTCATAAAAATATATCACAACATATTTTGGCAACAACGTGTGAGGTGGTATCATCTGTTTCCTCTGTAAAGAAATATAAAAGCGTTTAGATTATTATAATAATGATATAAACGCTCTTATATTTCTTTAGTGCTGAAATAAACAAACCTATCCATTGTATCGACCTCGTGCACGCCGCTGACGATCATGCCCCTGCCTCGTCGCACATTTCAGAACGGAACGGGGACAAAACGCAACTTCAAAATGTTATATTTTCGATTCGAAGACCTAAAAGTTGTTGACGGAATGGAATACGCCGGGTCAGTCTCCGAGGAAATATACCCCGTCCCGTCGTCCCATCTCCTTTCCTTGTTCCATGGGCAAAGAAGGCATCTTCGTGTTGCTGTGCAAGCGGACGGCCCCGCGCTGCTGCCTCGGCCTCGGTCTGCATGCTATCTGTAGCTTCTACTGCACTCCCGGGCTCTTCATCCCACCTCTTCGATCTTCCCTCCCCAGCTCTCCTGTCCTTTAAAAAGCTCCCTTCCTCCCCAGCTTTCACTTCACACCACAGCTCGACTCACGCCTCTTCCTTGGCGCCAGTCCAATCCTTGCTTGCTTCCCCACTTTCTTCCTTGGCCAAGTTAACCAGATCGATCGGCTGATCCTATCCATAGCTCCAGTCCAAGCTCGTTTCTTCAATCCAAAGTCAATCGCCCTCATCCAAGAAAGATCCAGGAGAAACGATCAGGGCATCTCCCAAGCTAAAGAAACCGTGCGTGTGTACTCCCTGTCCATAACTCCATATCCATCGCCATGGCCGGAGAAGGAGAGTGCTATGTCCCTGCCCGTGCACACCACCGGCGTCGTCGGTCGCGCAGAAACTAAGAGAGGAGGGGGAGAAGAAACTCTTTCGGGTTGTTTCTTTGGGGTAACGAGAATGCGGCAGCTGTCGTCGCTGCTGCAGGGGCTGGCCCGATCCATGGCTCTGGGAAAGGAGAGGAAGGAGGAGGAGCAGGGGACGGTGCTGCGGACGTCGGGGACGCTGCGGGGCGAGGGCTCCGGGACCTTGGCCGCCGTGTGGTCTCGCCGCGGCGAGAAGGGCACCAACCAGGACTGCTCCGTTGTCTGGGAGGTGAGTTCCATCTTCCATCCATCGCCTGCTTTGCTCTGTGTTTCATAATCCGCTGGCTGCATGTTGATGCTCTGTTCCACGTCTCGTCGCAATCATTGGTGACTTTATAATAGTAGTAGCGAATTAGCGACGAGACAACTCAATATTCTCACTGACTTGGAGATTCTCATAAGGAACTTAGTTATGAAGAAGAAGAAGAAGATATTGTGCCATGGTTCGTTGGCTTTGTCCCCTCATTGCTGTAACCTGTTGAAGAAGAAGTCTAGAATAGTTTCTGACCACTGAATAAATCAAACAGCTTCATGTACCTGTCTCAGTCTGCCTGAGATATGGGCTTCGGCTCTCTCCCCCTTCGTTTGCCTAATCAATTTTCTGATTTTTCTTTATCTTTGTGAGGTGGTTTAGTTCGTTTCGCACTCTTCAGTACAGTTCTGTTGTTGCTGCGACAAGTCTACAATACATCCTAGACTCAGTATGTCGTTGTGCCAAAAAATATTGCGTTGAATTATATTGGTTATCCACAAGAGAAATTTATAGACAGAAATAAAGATATGTTTCTTAGTAGAAAAATGGACCAAAACTGATTCAGTAAACGAGACTATAATAACAATCTATCGGAGCAAAGTGCCCAACCGAGCAATGAGGTAGTCTCTTTACTAAATTACTGATGTTGGCCCTTAGTTAAGCAGTTTTTTTCACTGATGTAGTGCTACGTGGCTTATCTAGACATAGGTTTTGTAGCATGTTGTTCACGAGGTCCTTGGATATGGCGCTTGCTTTTGGCCTCTAGGCGTTTCTCTTTTACTATACTAGTACTACTAACTGTATCTCCATGCCAAAAAGGCATAATACGTGTCTCGGTTCGTTGGAGAGAAAAAGGTGTTAGGTTTCTTGGTTTCTGAATCTAATGTGTAGCTTGGGTCGTTATCCAAGAGGTTATGACTGCGATGGCAGAAAACGGTGCGCTACCAAAGACAGGTTGCATGAGAAACAAAAAATCTCAACTTCTCAAGCCGTACATCTCTAATTCCTAGTTCAATCTCGAAAAAATATCTTTAATTCCTAGTATTTTCATGCATATTTCAAGTTCAAAATAGCCAAACCGAAATGGACACCAAGCTAAAAGTAAACTTGTTCTGTGGTTTTCTCCTTCTCTTCAGGGGTTCGGATGCCAGGAGGACACCATCTTCTGCGGCATCTTCGACGGCCACGGCCAGTGGGGACACTACGTCTCCAAGGCCGTCCGGGACTCGCTGCCGCCGTCGCTGTTGCGCCGCTGGCAGGAGGCCGTTACGCTGGCGTCACTCATCAACGGCGAGAAGAAGCTCTGCGACTCCCAGTTCGACCTCTGGAAGCAGTCCTACCTGGCGGCCGCCGCTGCCGTCGACGAAGAGCTCCGACGCAGCCGCCGCCTCGACGCGGTCAACAGTGGCTCCACTGCTCTGTCCATCATCAAGAAGGGTGACACGATGGTGATCGCGAACGTCGGCGACTCACGAGCCGTTCTGGGGACCACGTCGGATGACGGCAGCATCGCCGCCGTCCAGCTCACCGTCGACTTCAAACCCAACCTGCCTCGTAAGTACGCTGCGACAGACGCGCCGCTGCACGTTCAGCATTCTTGGGACGGCCATTACTCACCCACGGTGAAAACTGAATTGCAGAGGAGAAGGCGCGCATCGTGCAGTGCAAGGGTCGCGTGTACTGCGACGAGGACGAGCCCGGCGTGCACCGGGTGTGGCTGCCCGACAGGGAGGCGCCGGGGCTGGCCATGTCGCGCGCGTTTGGCGACTACTGCGTCAAGGACTACGGCGTCATCTCGGCGCCGGAGGTGACGCAGAGGAGGATCACCGCCCGGGACCAGTTCGTCATCCTGGCCACCGATGGGGTAAGCAGCCAACCACCTTTTTATGCCTTGGCTGTTGGCACAATCCTATTGCATCGTCTGATGGTCGTCGAAAAATGGCGGCAGGTTTGGGACGTGGTCTCCAACGAAGAGGCGGTGCAGATCGTGGCGGCCACGCCCGAGAGGGAGAAGGCGGCGAAGCGCCTGGTCCAGTGGGCCGTCCGTGCCTGGAGGCGCAAGCGGCGGGGCTACGCCGTCGACGACTGCTCGGCGATCTGCCTCTTCTTCCACCACTCGCCGCCATCGTAGACGGACGGCTTCGTCCCTGCATTGCCGTGAAGACCAAGCAAGAGAAAACGCCCGTCCTTTTCTTGGTAGAGTGAGTGCAGACGTCGCGGTCAGAGACCAAAATGGAAGATCACAGCAAATCACAACGTGCGGCAGTCGGGACGGTGGGCGAACTGCTGCCGGTCGACGGCCGGAAAATCTCCCCCAAAATGCACGAGAATCAACAGCAGCCAACGGCAAGGGGGCAAATGCATTTTTGTCCTCATTTTTGGTGTATGCCTCCGTCTCTGTTATGACGGGAAATCGTCACAATCATTGCCTTGTTATCTGTGTACATCAATCACAACAGGGTCATACATCACCGCCTTTGGCGCCGATAATTTGCGCCCAAAACAATCTCAATCTTAGATATTCTGCACTGAAGCATCATGCATTATTTGGTGCATCCCTGTTCATATCGACTGCCGATTCGGTAGGAAGCAGTCACACAAGTGAGAATTTCAATCTGTGGTGGCTGTGGCCGTGAAAGTCATCGTCGAGTTAGCCGCCGTAGCGACTTCTTAGCGTCTCCGGTGGCTCCTCTTCCATGATGCCAGCTCCGGTCGTGGCCAAGTATTCCCTTATTGTGGTTCTCCGGTCACCCAGATAGGTGTGGTCCAGGAAGTTGCTATATGCTGGTTCTCCCAGATTCTTGGCAGCAAGAACACTGCAAGGCAATCAAAACCCGTGTGAGGTGGTCGCAATATCAGAAGGATCGGACTTTATCTACACCCCCCTTGATGATAGAGACAGTTCGATAGAAAATGCGTTGGTACAAGAACTAGAATGTTCAGAGCAATGACTTATTTAGTTATTTTTGCTTCATGATGCATCTTGCTTTCAGATGTCACAAAGCAATGATATCATCTTGCTTGCAGAATGCCCCTTGCTTTGAGATGTCACTGATGAGATGTACCAGGAGAACAAATATATCATATAATAATCGGTGTCTCGGTGGAGTTCAAAGGTGTACAGTGATTTTAATATGCAGAAGATGCCTTTGCTGATGCTTATAACGGGTTTATTGAAGAACAGGATAATTAAAAAAAAGAAGCAACTAAGTGGATAGTAAGCATAAGATGCCTGAAGAGTAAACATACTTACCAGTGCCTGAGATATAGACGACAGGGTAAGATATCATTCCTCCATATTTTATCAATGTTGTACCGTCCATAGTGCTGATTATATATCTCTTTGCTTCCTGCAGAAAGAATTGGTCAACGTTTCAGTGTGTTACATGGAATTAGGAATGAGATTACAATTTTGGGCTGTCTTGTGCAATTATCCAAAAGTAAATAGCTTTGTACCTGCATAAGGCATCACTTTGCCATAAAAGGGTAAAAGAAATACTACCATGCTTAAAGCTTTGCTCATCGTCATAAAGTTTCACTATTTGAACAAACTTGTCTGTGTTAATTCTACTCTGATGCTTTTGTCATCCTATGATTCCTTAAAATCCTGATTTCTTTTCAGTGGAACTTGATCCTGCGATTCAAAGTATATGTGTGACCCAGTTTTAAAATAACTTTATATTATACATGAGCAAACTATTACTATCCTAGTAACCAATTGTTGATATCTCGTTGTATTTTTATTCAGGTATCACCCTGGCGATTTATGTAATTTTACCCTAGCTGGTCAATAGTAAACAATTGCGATAACAGAGGCAGATAAATATGCTAAAAGACCTCAAAGAATAACATAGTTAAAAGTCATATCTTGTTATAAATTAACACAAACATGCAACAATTCTTCTCAGAAATTGTTATCAAATATTATTAAATACTCCCTCTGTTCCTAAAGTATAAGAAGTTTTGGCAGTTCAAAGAGGAAAACAGGATGCTGGACACAAAAACGTAAAAGAGAAGTCTAGATCATCACTCCAATGTATCAGATGAATATAAAAAGGGATGCCAGGTCACCAAGAAAATAGTCTTTCTAGTTTCTACCAAATAATGGAAAAAGAAATATTACATCTGTCTCAAAATGTAAGACGTTTTTTGACATTACATTTTGAGACAGAGGGAGTATATCCTACCAAGCTCTGCAGCTAAGGGCCTGCTTGGATATCGTTTCCTTTCTAAATCCCCCGTAAAACATTGCCAGGTAAGAAAAAGTCAGGTGGGTTCGCTTGGTTCATCGGATTGGGCCTGTAATATTTACACCTGTATCCCCTATCATGCTCTTATTCAGTCGGTTTATGATACAGGCCTCGACTCGTCGTTTTTTTTTCCGGCTGGAAAACACCTGTGGCCCAGTAATATACGCATGTAAACTAATACAGCTGTATAATATTTACACCGATGCCAAGCGGGACCTAAGTATGTCTGGAGCATGGTAGCCAAATGTGTAGGACCTGTAGATAGACCTGGTTGTTTCTGCCAGTATTTCTGGTGGATTCCTACTTTCTTGCCTAGTAGAAGTCAAAACTTACAAATTGTGGGCTTGGCGGCTCTTTGCTGGGTGATGTGGAAACTTCCACCAGAGTTTGTTTTGAATTTAAACTGGTCTGATAGCCTGCTGAATTTGAGTGCTGTGCATGCTCGTTTATGCATTACTGGGCAGGCCTATAATCTGATGAAGTTCGTGTGATGCTGGAGGAAGGAGCGAATGCACTGCAATGTGAGGCACTGACGGCCCATGATGATGGACATGGTGAAGGAAGAAGGCAAAATCTGCGCCTGGAAGATGATGGACATGAGGAAGCTGAAGAGGACGATGGAAATGGGAACATAGCTATGGAGGAAGACTAAAAGAAAAGGCTGAGGTTTCAGTGGATACGGATGATCTGCCTTTCTCCTGATGATCTGGCACCCCTGACAATCAAGTTGTGTGCTAGGGTAGTTGGCTTTCAATCTCTGTAATATACACCGTCGTTTTCTTAGCAGTTCGTGCTGCTGTTAGCTTAGATGCGGCAGCGGCCTGCGAATTCTGTCGTTAGGCCCTTTTATTTCAGTTTGGACACAAATTTGCAATGGGTGCTTTTGTTTTATTTTCATTTCGTTATCTTTTGATAGTGGAACCCAATCCCTTTTTCAGATCGTAATGGGAAAAAATCCTACCATATCTTATCAATAGTCAAACAGACAAACCCATTACAAAGTCAGTAGCAAAGTCATTGAAATGAAATGCAGAACTGAAAGAAATTTGAGTGTCATATAGATTCAACCTTTGCATCTCACTTGGAAATACTCTTCATCGCTATAGCGTGCACAGACAACCTGAACCAATAAATTCCATCAAGATGAATAATAACTGCATTGCAGGAAAGATCAAACAAAAAACTAAGCTAGAAATTCAGTCCCAAAATACAGGCCCTTACAGCTGGATTTGGAAAAGGCGCTCCATCCAGTCCTTCAGGGGCCACCTGACAACACATATATACATAAACAAAAGAGTTAGCCTAAATTAAAAGCCAGGACTGGACACTGGACAATCTAAACTCCACCAAAAGCCAGGCTTGAGATGAAGAAACTGAAAACCTAACAAAATTGGTTAGCATGCAGTGAATTAACTGCTCACCCACCGCAAGAAATCTGAACTCGAGCTCCCTCTCGATGAATGCTGGCACCTGCGAATATCCCAATTCAGTACTTCACTAAAACCTAAAAAAACTTCACTGGATTGCACATGAACAAAAAGTTGCACACTATCATAAAGTGCAGCACAGTACCTCCTCCTCCTTGATTTCAAACACAGTGACAACTATCATTTCTCCCTCACAATGCTCCACGCTTAAGCTTGAGGACTCCTACAAGTCAATCCCAATACTTCAATGAAAATCAAAACTTTATGGAAACCCAAATAAAAAATGCAAGTTCCTGGCAGAAGCACACTAAACTCTACATCCTCAAACATACAAATCTAAAATCAATAATTTCGATCTATCAATAAAACACCACACTTTCCTTTCTTCTATTACCATAGACAGCGAACACGAGTATCCATGCTTCAGAAAATCTGCTTAAGCAGTAACAAAAATCCTCTTCTGCTTGCAATAGAGTACTACAATAATTATCTTATACATTCGTAAACATATTTCCATGCCTCAGTTTTGTTCAGTGCGACATGGTTTCATCCTTTTGGACTCCACAAATGGATCAAAAGAAGCTTGCGTTCACATGGTCAAATGATCCCACGAATAACAAAGAGAAACATTAAGCAATAGAAAAAAAAATCACATGTTAGTCAATATAAAAGGCAAGCAATTATACATAAGACGAGTTTCATGCATTGGTCAATATTAAAGATAAGCAATAAAATATCTTTTTCAGAATTTTGTAAAAAGAAAAGTGATACGGTCATCTCCAAAATTGCATCTAGCTCATATCAGTGGTGGTTATTTGATTGGACAGATGCCCTAACTGCACAATGAAAACTTCTCTTTTTTCCCTCTGTATCTTTCAACATAGCAAAAATCGACAGTCAAGCGCAACTATGGAAGAGGTGAAAAATCAAAACCATAGAGAAGCTCAATTCCCTATCACCCTCACTATTTGGTCATCCAGGAATTCCAAACATCACAACATTCAGGCAGAATTGCATATGACAGCTCCGAGCAATCCATCCATGTCCCTATGGAAAATTGGAAATACTACACACCTTGTAGAGTAATCAGACACTACTACGCCACAAACAGAAATGTGAAATGCAATCGGACGAACTATGCGTACACAAAGATGAAGCACAAGTACTGACAAGAGCATCATAAAGATAAGCATACAGTCTGCTTGCCTTAGTGGCCTCAATGGCGATGCCGCGCTCGAAGAAGATGGGGGCGGCGTGGGCGAAGACGCGCCGGAACCCGCGCAGCGCCGCCACACGGAACCCCTTCAGCTCCGGGAACGTGCTCCTCGCGCTCCGCTCTGGCGTCAGGGGCCTCGAAACTTAAGCCAGTGGTTTGGACTCGGAGTTTGTTACTGACGGGGAAGAGCGGTGGCACTCACCGGAGAGAAGGGAGCCGAAGCCGATGACGGAGATGCGGCCGTCGGGAGAGGCGATGCCGGCGAAGTCGGCGGCAGAGGCCAGCTCGCTGAAGGCGTCGCCGACGCTGCTGGTGGCCCGGGCGGCCGCGGTAAGAGGAGGCATGAGGCGGCGGCTGCGGCGGATGGACGGCAGAGAGGGTTCCGGCGATCGCCGGAGGTGGAGGAGGGGTCGTCGGTGGAGGGTGGGGCGGCCTGCCGCGTTGGATTTTGATCGGACAGCTGCGGATGGCCCGGGGCGGAGCGTTCCGGCGGAGGCGATGCCGCGCATTATTGGGGAAGGGCAGGCAGTCGTGTGCTTCGCTTACAGTCACCACGGCAGCTTGTTGGTTTTCTAGGGAGATCGATCTCACATTAGGTGAGATCAATGAGATCAAATTTACGAGTACATGTTAAAACATTGTTAAAAAATTATAGAAACACTCAAAAAGTTTCAGTCATAATTCGACCTACATTAATAAAAACAAAAACAAAAAAGAAATTTGAACATGAACAGTGTCAAAGTACTATTCACTAAAGCTGCCACTATTCATATTCAAATTTGTCTTTTCTAGATCTCCATATGTACATCGAGTTTTGAGCTGATTTTTTAGAGCTGGAGACAGACCCCGCGTGGATATTGTCAAATAGTTTCAGAATTTTTTGATATGTCTAAATTTTTTTTAGGGTTGATTTCACGATCTCACCTGATGTGAATCTCACACAAGTCTCTTCTGGTTTTCCAACACCAACAATCAATCATGTTGTTGACGAGTAAATTAAGCCATCCATACGTGTAACACATGTTCGTGATGTGAGGAATATATTTTTAAAAAATAGAAAAAATTAGCACATGACTATTGTTACAACTTTAAAATAGTCACTAGAGCATGTATTGTGGTTGATAAGAGTGACTTATTTTAATCATATCACGTAATCAAGAGATGACAAAAAAATTAACACACGATGGGTTATCTCTTAATATTATCTCTAGTAACTAGATATTCCTATAAACACGATGAAAGATTTGTTACTAAGATATTATCTCTTCATTAAAAGGTTTCTCTTTCCTCTATGTTACTCCCTTCGTATCGTAATATAAGATGCTTAACTTTTAAAAACGTCTTAAATTATGAGATGGGAGAGTAGTATTTATCTTGCATGCCATTATTAAAATAACACTATTGCACATGCCCTTGGTAAAGAGGTGTTTAATCTGAACAATCATGTTTTAATCATGTATCCACACATTTTCTATCAATGAAATTAATGATGCTTGATCTCTCACTTCCTTTGATCAACTTTACTTCTAGGGACATTTGTGGGCTGTTTGGTTCCTAGACACACCTTGCCACACCTCACCTTAGGCAAGTTTGATCAAATTAGGTGGATGTTTGGTTCTAGCCACACCTAAGGTGAGAATATTTTAATGAGCAGTGAACCCAACATATCATAAACACAAAAGGTGTGGCAAGATTTCCCTTAGATAAGCCGGAGTGAGGCTAATAATTTGAACAACTCAAATAAAGCAAGTATAGCAAAAAAAAATATGCAGTATAGGGCAAAGATAGTCACAATCCAAACAGCCCCTTACATTTTTCTTCCTAACTCGAACCCAATATTGATATTTGCTCCTAATTTTTCATTGTGTTAAAATGTGTCCTTCTTCCGCCTGCTGGTGCTTCTATAGGAATACTCTTCCATGTCGTTTTCGTCTACGCAAAGGCATTTGGCCATTTTACGGAACGTTTCCTGAACAATTTTGCCCATGTCTCCATATGTCACTTACAAATGGGCCTCCTCATCCATGCGAAAAAAACTCTCTCTGATCATCTCTCGTTATTTGACTTACATGTGGGACCTAACTAGAAAACAAAAAAATGAAAAATTACAAAAGGGAAAACTCTCTCTACCGCAACCACTCTCTCAACTCCGGTAAAATTGATTTTGCGACCATGGGTCGCTGCAGCCGCTAGCTCCCCACGCATCCATGATTTCTCCCCCTCCCCCTCTCTCTCTCCACTCACCGCACGTGCGCTCAGTCGACGAACTCGCGCCGCGACTCATCCTACGGATAACCTAGGCCTCCTTGCCCTTATCCCCACAACAATCACACCACTAGGGAGTTCTTGATCAACCCGCACCACTCTCTAGTCCCCTCTCTACAATCTTCCTCCTTTGGGGCCGCCGTATCTAGAGCACACTCTGTTAGGGAATGTAGCATGCAATTTCAAAAAATTTCCTACGGACACGCAAAATCTATCTAGGAGATGCATAGCAACGAGAGGGGGAGAGTGTGTCCACGTACCCTCGTAGACCGAAAGCGGAAGTTCTTCTTACCCTTGCCTTTCTTGAACTTAGTGGTTTTATTCACCATCAACACTTGATGTTCCTTTTTGACTTCTACCTCTGCTGATTTCAGCATTGCAAATACCTCAGGAATGGTCTTTTCCATCCCCTGCATATTGAAGTTCATCACAAAGCTCTTGTAGCTCGGTGGAAGCGACTGGAGGATTCTGTCAATGACCGCGTCATCCGGGAGATTAACTCCCAGCTGAGTCAAGCGGTTATGTAACCCAGACATAGTGAGTATGTGCTCACTGACAGAACTGTTTTCCTCCATCTTACAGCTGAAGAACTTGTCGGAGACTTGATATCTCTCGACCCGGGCATGAGCTTGGAAAACCATTTTCAGCTCTTCGAACATCTCATATGCTCCGTGTCTCTCAAAACGCTTTTGGAGCCCCGGCTCTAAGCTGTAAAGCATGCCGCACTGAACGAGGGAGTAGTCATCGGTACGTGCCTGCCAAGCGTTCATAATGTCTTGTTCTGCAGGGAGAACAGGTGCGTCACCCAGCGGTGCTTGTAGGACATAATCTTTCTTGGCAGCTATGAGGATGATCCTCAGGTTCCGGACCCAGTCTGTATAATTGCTGCCATCGTCTTTCAGCTTGGTTTTCTCTAGGAACGCGTTGAAGTTGAGGACAACGTTGGCCATTTAATCTACAAGACATATTGTAAAGATTTTAGACTAAGTTCATGATAATTAAGTTCATCTAATCAAATTATTCAATGAACTCCCACTCGGATAGACATCCCTCCAGTCATCTAAGTATAACATGATCCGAGTTAACTAGGCCGTGTCCGATCATTACGTGAGACGGACTAGTCAACATCGGTGAACATCTTCATGTTGATCGTATCTTCTATACGACTCATGCTCGACCTTTCAGTCTTCTGTGTTCCGAGGCCATGTCTGTACATGCTAGGCTCGTCAAGTCAAGCTAAGTGTTTGCATGTGTAAATCTGTCTTACACCCGTTGTATGTGAACGTTAGAATCTAACACCCGATCATCACGTGGTGCTTTGAAACAACGTACTGTCGCAACGGTGCACAGTTAGGGGGAACACTTTCTTGAAATTATTATGAGGGATCATCTTATTTACTACCGTCGTTCTAAGTAAACAAGATGCAAAACATGATAAACATCACATGCAATCAAATAATAATAGTGACATGATATGGCCAATATCACATAGCTCCTTTGATCTCCATCTTGGGGCTCCATGATCATCTTGTCACCGGCATGACACCATGATCTCCATCATCATGATCTCCATCATTGTGTCTCCATGAAGTTGCTCGCCAACTATTACTTCTACTACTACGGCTAACGCGTTTAGCAATAAAGTAAAGTAATTTACATGGCGTTTCTCAATGACACGCAGGTCATACAAAAAATAAAGACAACTCCTATGGCTCCTGCCGGTTGTCATACTCATCGACATGCAAGTCGTGATTTCTATTACAATAGTATGAACATCTCATACATCACATATATATCATTCATCATTCATCACAACTTTGGCCATATCATATCACAAAGCATTTGCTGCAAAAACAAGTTAGACGTCCTCTAATTGTTGTTGCATGTTTTACGTGGCTGAAGTAGGGTTCTAGCAAGAACGTTTTCTTACCTACGTGAAAGCCACAACGTGATTTGTCAACTTCTATTTACCCTTCATAAGGACCCTTTTCATCGAATCCGCTCCAATTAAAGTGGGAGAGACAGACACCCGCCAGCCACCTTATGCAACTTGTGCATGTTAGTCGGTGGAACCGGTCTCACGTAAGCGTACGTGTAAGGTTGGTCCGGGCCGCTTCATCCCACAATACCGTTGAAGCAAGATAAGACTAGTAGCGACAAGAAAGTTGACAACATCAACGCCCACAACAAATTGTGTTCTACTCGTGCAAGAGAACTACGCATAGACCTAGCTCATGATGCCACTGAAGGGGAACGTTGCAGAAAACAAAAAATTTCCTACGGTTTCACCAAGATCCATCTAGGAGTTCATCTAGCAACGAGTGATCGGATTGCATCTACATACCTTTGTAGATCACGCGCGAAAGCGTTCAAAGAACGGGGATGAGGAAGGCGTACTCGATGTGATCCAAATCACCGGAGATCCTAGCGCCGAACGGACGGCACCTCCGCGTTCAACACACGTACGGTCAGCGTAACGTCTCCTTCTTCTTGATCCAGCAAGGGGGAAGGAGAGGTTGAGGAATATGGCTCCAACAGCAGCACGACGGCGTGGTGGTGGTGGAACTGCAGTACTCCGGCAGGGCTTCGCCAAGCACTATGGAGGAGGAGGATGTGTTGGAGAGGGAGATGGAGGCACCTAAGGTGTGGGTTGAGAGGCCCTCCTTCCCCCACTATATATAGGGAGCCTAGGGGGCGCCGGCCCTAGGAGATCCAATCTCCTAGGGGGGCGGCGGCCAAGGGAGGAATCCCTCCTCCCCAAGGCACCTAGGAGGTGCCTTGCCCCTTCGGGACTCTTCCCTTCCTTATCTCTTGGCGCATGGGCCTCTTGGGGCTGGTGCCCTTGGCCCATATAGGCCAAGGCGCACCCCCTACAGCCCATGTGCCCCCCGGGGCAGGTGGCCCCACCCGGTGGACCCCCGGGACCCTTCCGGTGGTCCCGGTACAATACCGGTGACCCCGAAACTTGTCCCGATGGCCGAAATAGCACTTCCTATATATAATTCTTTACCTCCGGACCATTCCGGAACTCCTCGTGACGTCCGGGATCTCATCCGGGACTCCGAACAACATTCGGGTTACTGCATATACATATCCCTACAACTCTAGCGTCACCGAACCTTAAGTGTGTAGACCCTACGGGTTCGGGAGACATGTAGACATGACCGAGATTACTCTCCGGTCAATAACCAACAGCGCGATCTGGATACCCATGTTGGCTCCCACATTCTCCTCAATGATCTCA